CGTTCTTCTGATTGATAGATCGCTAGAACTTGGGAAAGTAGCGTAATCTGGTAAATCTCAGATCATTTTTTCTTCAATTTCAATAATATTTTTTTCAATAATTCTCAAATCTAATTATTGTTTAGAGATCTTCTCTCTTTATTAGTCTCAAATGAGTGGTAGTATTTTCTCTAGATCTTTCTTTCGTGTTTTGATTATGGTGAAGACAACATCAATTCTCCGTTCTAATCATGTTTAATTCTGAATTTTTAATTTTTTTTTTGAGGTTATCATAATTGTTTGGTACAAATCATTTATTCGCCTTTTTTCGCACGATTTTAAGCTAAGCATTTACCTATAACTAGAAGCTACGAATATAACTGAATAGCAACATTTTTTTCTCTTGATTATCTGTATAGTGTAATTGTAGTTTGAAAAATGTGTGATTTGTGTATGTTGTGTGTTTAATTCTGACGTACTTGTGTATATATCGTTGTTGATATAAGGGGATAAGGCTTGATTGATTGAGTTTGGAAAAGATGTCTAATGTTGATGAGCCTTTATACCCGATTGCCGTGCTTATAGACGAGCTGAAAAACGATGATATTCAGCTTCGATTGAACTCCATTAAACGGCTTTCTATCATTGCTCGTGCTCTTGGAGAGGAGAGAACTAGAAAGGAGTTGATTCCGTTTCTTAGCGAAAACAATGACGATGACGACGAGGTGCTTCTTGCAATGGCGGAAGAGTTGGGGGTTTTTATTCCTTATGTTGGAGGGATTGAGCATGCGCATGTTCTGCTTCCACCTCTTGAGAATCTCTCGACCGTCGAGGAAACTTGTGTGAGGGAGAAAGCTGTAGATTCACTTTGCAGAATTGGTTCTCAGATGAGGGAGAATGACTTGGTTGATCATTTCATTCCTCTGGCTAAGGTTAGACAATGATGATTACTCATCGTTTATCAATCTCTTTAATATATGGAGCTCCTCTAAACACCAAGAACAGTATACTTGTAACGTACAACAGATTTGAGCATTACTGAATTCCATTACTATTGAACAGAGACTTTCAGCTGGTGAGTGGTTCACAGCCAGAGTATCAGCATGTGGTGTTTTCCATATTGCATACCCAAGTGCCCCCGATCCGCTAAAGACGGAGCTAAGATCATTATACAGCCAGCTCTGTCAAGATGACATGCCAATGGTGCGAAGAGCTGCAGCAACTAATTTAGGGAAATTTGCAGCTACAATTGAATCAGCTCATTTGAAGACAGACGTTATGTCCATGTTTGACGATCTTACTCAAGATGGTATGTTTTCCAATATTGTATGGTTTTGTTTTTCCCGGCAAATACTCTTACAATTTTGGCCAAGTCTGTTTATGGGGAAGGACTGATGTAAATAAAAGACAAGTAATAGGGTTAATGCATTGAACACTGAACACTACCATTGTCCACGTCTTAGTCTTACTTATATAATGATCTTATAACTTTTGACTTCCTTATTGACGTTGATATCAGATCAAGATTCGGTTAGATTATTGGCTGTTGAGAGTTGTGCTGCCCTTGGGAAACTGTTGGAGCCCCAGGACTGTGTCACACACATTCTTCCTGTGATCGTCAATTTCTCGCAGGTGAATAAGTGTGTTAATAAGATAGGATTTTCTACTGATGAGCCTTATGGGAAGTTGTAAGGCAGATATGTATGAGCTGCTTTATCGTGATATTTTGTCTTTGAGCAGGATAAGTCCTGGCGTGTGCGTTATATGGTTGCTAATCAGCTCTATGAACTTTGTGAAGCTGTGGGACCAGAGCCTACTAGGTAAGCAATGATGCCTGAATTTTGCTTTATGCGTTTATTGATGTCTTTATTGTGACCGCTGGATTTGTAATTCTATATGAAGCATTAGATTACTGGCTCCAGAGTGGTACTTGGAAGTTTGTGATTGTTGAGTCATCTTGATAGATCTCCTTAAATCTTATCGATATACTTTTCTTTTTTATGTGCCTTGTGTATTAAGGGCGGATCTGGTGCCTGCATATGTTCGTCTTCTTCGTGATAATGAAGCTGAAGTTCGGATAGCAGCTGCTGGAAAAGTTACTAAGTTTTGTCGGATTTTAAACCCGGAACTCGCTATCCAGCACATTCTTCCCTGTGTAAAGGTACATGCTTAAGAGGAGTCCATTGATTTCATATAGTGCAAAGGACCAATGTACCATCAGTGTTTACTAATTAGCAATTACTAATAGCCTATCTTAAAATTTACCTGTAGGAATTATCATCGGATTCTTCTCAGCATGTCAGATCTGCATTGGCGTCAGTTATAATGGGAATGGCTCCAGTCTTGGGTAAGGTAAGGGGTACTGCCATATATGCAAATGCATCTGTAGGAATTATGTTGATAATAATATTAAACCTGCAACATATGATCGTTGTTTCTTTCTTTTGTTAGCAACCATGTATATATCTTCTTCTTCCTGGTCTTGGTATTATCCGTAGGAACAAAATACTTTGTGTAATTATGTGCCTAGAAGGTGCCCGCAACCTTGATCTGTAGTAAATTGAACTGTGTTTATTAAAAGATATTTTGGCTGGATTTTGTATCTCTCAGTTTTTTTTAACTTAGCATTGCTATGTATCGCAGGATGCAACAATTGAGCATCTTCTTCCAATCTTTCTTTCTCTATTGAAAGACGAATTTCCTGATGTACGGTTAAACATCATCAGCAAACTTGACCAAGTGAACCAGGTTTGTTATTAACCATGTTACTTATCTCTTTGCACAACATTGAAATTCTATTTTCGAAAACGTTCTCCACATGTTGAAAGGAGCTGAAGCATCATGTTTTGGTCAAGTCAAAAACAAATATACTATTTTGACTCACTGCACCAACTTGTTTCTCCATCCATTTTTTCAGATGATGATGCGATTTTTTTTTTAATAATCTTGGCAGGTTATTGGGATCGATCTGCTATCACAATCTTTATTGCCAGCCATTGTAGAACTTGCTGAAGACAGGCACTGGAGAGTACGTCTTGCTATAATTGAGTACATTCCTTTGTTGGCCAGTCAATTAGGTGTAGGCTTCTTTGACGATAAGCTTGGTGCTCTTTGCATGCAATGGTTACAAGACAAGGTTCTTCATTCTCTACCTTCATCGCATCATCAGATAGATGAATCCGTCTTTTGTACCATTTGAAATGTTGGGAGATTTTTCAATTGTCAGGTTCACTCAATCCGGGAAGCTGCTGCAAACAATCTCAAGCGTCTTGCTGAAGAGTTTGGTCCTGAATGGGCAATGCAGCATATAGTTCCTCAGGTTTGTCTAGAAAACTCAAGTGATTAGTAGACATTTTTCTTCTCTCTGATTGAAAATCAATCATTTTCATCATGTAGCGGTTATTATAAGTATATTTACTTGTGCAGGTTCTAGAGATGAGTAATAATCCACATTATCTATATCGGATGACGATTCTTCGTGCAGTTTCGCTTCTCGCTCCAGTAATGGGATCCGAGATCACATGCTCCAAACTCTTGCCTGTTGTAATTAATGCATCTAAAGACAGGCAAGTCTCTTC